TAGGCTGGTCTCGACTCCTGACCTCAGGTGATCCACCCTCCTTGGCCTCCCAAAGTGCTGGGATTACAGGTATGAGCCACCACACCTAGCTAATTTATTTTAAGTTTCATTTTATTTTATTTTAAAATTTTATTTATATATAAATTTCATATAAATACTGTTTTTTATTTGTTTATAAAAAACAAATATTGTATTTTTGTTTCTTTACAAAGAATGCCTCACATTTTCCCTGAGGAAGTGTGTCTTCAGTGGCTAAAGCTGTGGCAGGTACGGTGTCTGGGACATCCTTAATCAAACTTGTACCTAATCAAAATTGAGATGTTCTTAGTGGCCATGCATGAAATTGTCTCAGTTCATTCATGCTGTTATAACAAAATACCACAGAGTGGGTAATTTCTAAATAACACAACTTCATTGCTCACACTTCTGAGGGCTGGGAAGTTTAAGAACAAGGCACCAGCATGTTCTGTGTCTGGTTCCACTCTGCTTTCAAGATGGCGCCTTGAGTGCTGAGTCCTCCAGAAGGGACAAATGCCATGTCCTCTCTTGGCAGAAAGGACAGGAGGGCAAAAAGACTAGCTAGCTCCCTTCGATTTCTTTTACAAGGCACTAATCCCATCTATGAGGATGGAGCATAATTTATAAGCAATAGTGCTTACAAATGCACCACCAGCACTTGAAAAGTGAATTCCCCTGATTCTGCTTTATTTATAAATTGTACTTCTTATTTTGTTAAAATCTTTGTCCTTTTCTTGTCTCCACTCAGTCTCTGATAGACCGTGTTGTGTGTAAGTCTCCTACTTGCTGTCTCTGTCCATTTATCACTGTATGTCTCATGTTTCTGTTGTACACATTTTGTTGTGATGATTTCTGGATTGAATTGTGTCCCTGTCAAATTCAGGTTGTAGCCCTTGGTACTTCAGAACATGACTTTATTTGGAAGTAGGGTGTTTACAGAGGTAATCAAGTTAAAAGGGGGTCATTAGTGAACCCTAATAAAATATGACTGCTATATTTAGAAAAAAGGCAAGTTTGGAGTCGGACACTCATACAGGAAGAACACCACGTGAGCATGAAGACACATTTTATTTTACTTCATTTTTTGAGATAGGGTCTCGATCTGTTGCCCAGGCGAGAGTGCAGTGACATGATCTTCGCTTGCTGCAACCTCTGCCTCCCAGGCTCAAGCAACTCTCCCACCTCAGCTTCCCAAGTAGCTGGAACTACAGGCATGCGCCACCACACCAAGCTCATTTTTATATTTTTGTAGAGATGGGGGTTTTTGCCATGTTGCTCAGGCTGGTCTCCAACTCCTGGGCTCAAGGGATCCTCCTGCCTCGACCTCTCAAAGTGCTGGAATTACAGGTGTGAGCCACTGTGCCCAGCCATGAAGACACATTTTTAAAAGATAGTGTGAGGAGACATAAAAAGAGGACCGCCTAAAAGCCAAGGAGAGAGACCTGGAACAGATTCTTCCCTTACCGTGTTAAGAACAACCCTGCTGACGTTTTTCCCTTGAACTTGCAGCCTTCAGAAGTGTAAGAGAATAAATGTCTGTTGTTGAAGCCACCCAGTTTGTGGTACTTTGTTGTGGCAACCCTGGCAAAGTAAAACATTAAGCCATCCTGCAATAGTTTTAATCGTCTGTCTTCACCATCAGTTGGTACAATGACCCCATGCCTTTACTATGCTGGATTTTCCCATTTGATTGGCAATCTTTTATCCAGTCTTTTGATTAAGATCATGAACCCCCTGTTGTTACCCACCTAGGTGTTTGTGGTGCACACATACGTAGCACATTGATCAGCAATTGCCTATATGAACTCTGGAGTCAGAATTGGTGGCTGCCACTTAGATGCTCTATGACTTTGGGCAAGTCCATTAATCTTTCTGTGCCTGTCTTCCCTTTTGTGAGGTGAGGAAATAGTAATTATTCCTATCATAAGATTGTCTTGAGGGTTATTACAAAACTAGGCTAACAGGACTGTTGAGGTTGGGTTGCCAGAAAACAGACTATGAGATGGAGATTCAGTGTACAGGAAGGTTATTGAAGAGGTGCTCTCAGGATTGACAGGCACACAGGGTTTGGGTGTAGGTAGCAGGATTCAACGGGGACTGTAGTGGTTTAAAATATGTCCTCAAATTCTTTGACCCTCCCTTCCAAAGATAGAGCTAAATTTCCCTTTCCAAGTGTAGGCTGGATTTAGTGACTGTCTTCTAATGAAGAGAAGAAAAGTAGAGGTGCTTCAGAGACTTGGCTACACAGGGCATTGCAGCTCCCTACTTGCACTGTCTCTTGATTGACTGGTCTGGGAGAAGTTAGCTGCCATATTGTGAGGCTTCTCAAGCAGCCAGTGGTACCGGAAGTGAGTGCTCCCAACCTCAGCCAAGTGAGGGAGCAATCTTGGAAGTGGATCTTCTAGCCCACAGCAGGTCTTCAGACAATGGCAAGAACCTGAGGCCTTGAGCCAGAACCTCCCAGGGAAAGCTGCTCCTGAGTTCCCAACTCACAGACATAATGTTTGTTGTTTAAAACTACTACATATTGGGGTAATTTGCTACACATCAGTATTTAACTAATACTGGGAGTTTGGGATCTGGAATGGTCCTTCAGAGTTGTCCCAAACTGGGACAAGCAAGAGACCTGTATATCCTAAATGTTAATCATCAGGTGTGGGCTGCCCCCAAGAAGGGGCAATGACCTTGGGCAAGGCAGTTTTCTTCATTAAGGGCAAGTTCTGAAGAGTGACTTAGCTGAGAGCGGTTGAGACCAATACTCCTAGGAGCGCAGGGAACGTGTCTGTCGTTCAGTCCTGAGGAAGAGTCTGGGCAGAGAATCATACATAGTACCTGCTTAAGGATGTTTAGTGGGACGTCTCCTGTTGTCCTAGAATTGGCACTAGGCTCACAACGGAAAACAACAGGTATAGTACTCCATCCCCCAACGAAAGATGCCTATAATTGGGGCCACTTCCCCCAGGGCTTAATAAAAAGCTGCTGATCCAGCCCCGCTTCCACCAAATACTTCCCCAGTCCTCTCCTTCTCAATCTATACAGGAAGGCAGGGGAAGGAATGAAAGGAGGCAGTTGGGATTGTGGAGGACAGTGTTTCTGGTGGCAAGTGATATAACTGGGGAGGCTATAGGACAATCTCTCCTAGGTAGCAGGGGCCCTACTGGAAGGGGAGTCTGAGATTCTATTTGTTGCCTGCAGATCTAGTTCTCCAGCACTCTTGCTGATTTACCCCTGTCTGTATTGCAAGAGGGAACAAGAAAATTGAAGAGGGATAGTAAGGGAGAGAGGAGCAGCCACAGGTGGTCTTCAGTTCAACCCTTTGTGTGGCAAGGATGTATATTTCTATGGGTCAAAGTCTTTCTGTGTGGAAAATAAATGGTCCTGAGCGATCTTGCTGGGTCTTGCCTGAGAGACTGAATGTACTGCCCGGTGTTGACAGGGGCGTGATGGAAAAGATCATGCTGGGGACAGATCTCCCATGGAACTGTGTGGCGGGAGAAGGCCCCACCCGACCTCCCCATCTGTACCCCATGTAATTTTAAACGAGACAGTTATCCAGAGAACCAGGAATCAACTAAGAAAATTCAGCAGTGGCCAGTTAAGAGATATTTGTCTTATTTTCTCTCCTCTACCTTAGCTCAACACAGAAGCCAGGCCTTGCAGAGGAACGTTGAGAAGTGCAGTGCCAGAACCATGCCTAGCACCTTTCCACTTATACTACAGATTAGGGTCCCACTTGGGACATGGGATCACATTTTCACAAGGTCTGATTTTTGGTAACTCCAATGGACCAGAAAGTTAACTTATCATCTAAGGTGTGAGTGAGGGATAGAAAACATTGAAAAGGATAGCATTGGAGGCTGGGCGCAGTGGCTCGGCTCACCCCTGTAGTCCCAGGCCAAGGCGGGCAGATCACGAGGTCAAGAGTTCGAGACCAGCCTGGCCAACATGGCAAAACCCCATCTTTATTAATGCAAAAATTAGCCGGTCGTGGTGGTGCGTGCCTGTAGTCCCAGCTGCTCGGGAGGCTGAGGCAGGAGAATCGCTTGAACCCGGCAGGTGGAGGCTGCAGTGAGCCGAGATCTTGCCACTGCACTCCAGCCTGGGTGACAGAGCAAGACTCCATCTCAATAAACAAACAAAAAGTATACGACGTGGATACATGTGTTTCTTTTCCTGTTTCTCTGCAGTGTCTACTGAGATTGCTTTTTTTGCCATTTGAAAATGATGGGTGAGTCTAGTGGAAAGGGATCCACTTCTTGAATTCAAATAGACTAGGCTGATTTTCAAGTCCTTAATGGATTGTTCTAAAATCGCTGAGTCTGAGTTGCCAGGAAAACATTCAAGACAGAGACCAAAGCCCCGAGGGCAGAGATGAGCTGCAAACCAAGACCCGAGTATTTGAAAATACCATTTATTAACCTTCAAAAGCAACTGTAGCTGAAGCACCATCACTGCTGGCCTGTAAAACACTTAACATTCTCAAGGCGGAGGCATTCGTGATACAAATTCTTGCAATTGTTTTACAGAGAATTTCTGATGTCATCCCAAAAGTAATGCGTTTTTAAAAACAATGACCAGAATCAAAGAATTTAAACAAAAAGCACTGTCGCCGCATTATTTAATTAAATCATTCGCCAAAACGAAATTTGCCCTTCTGCTTATTGGCAAAATCCTCATTTAGAACATTTACCAGAGATTTTACCCCAAGAAACGAAGTATATTAACCGTGCACTGCCGGCCCTGCCTGAAGGCAGTAACGCCCCCACTCCCACTAACTATATCTGGGGTCAGCTGCTGCTGGGAGTAAAAAGAAAAGGCAGTTTCACTTCAGCTTCCAATCTTTCATTCGCAACCGATCTCCGAGCCCCAGAACCTGTGGGCCGTGCCTTTCCACGCTTTGGCTCCGGATGCAGGGATCTGAATATTTAACACCCGGTTCCAGGACACGCGCCTGGGGAACACCCACAATCCCTCGCGGCCCGCGGAGCCGAGCTGGCGGGTGACCCTGCGCCGCGGCTCGGAGCGGAGCGAGGTCACCCAGCGCTTCCAGAGACCTTGGCCCGAGGCCTGGTGGGCGCGGGTGGGGGCGGGGCAGCCGAGCCGCCCGCCAATCAGCGCTTTGCTGGCCGAGAGCGCAGTGGCCACGCCCCTGAGGGTGACCGGAACCGTTCTCGCGGGAAGCAGGGCAGGGAGCGGCGCCTGGCCGCGGACAGACGAGGGGGCGTTGGCTACTCAGAACCCTAGGGAGAAAGTAGGGGAGAGCTAGAGTTGAGGAGATTAAGGACATTTGAGCAGCACAGGCATTCCCAAGTTATAACCTCCTGAAAGACAACTCCATAGTGCGGACCCCTCTGCACCGCACAGCCTGACGGGAGCCTCATCCTTCCAGGGCTGCCAGCGCCCGGGAGAACGCCTCGGCCCCGTCCACGGCCGCGAGGCACGCCGGGAAAGCTGAGAGTTCCTCCTTCCGCTAACCCAGACAGAAAAAGAGCATTTCCGGCGTAAGACTGTCTTTACGGAAAGGGTGGGGCTAGTCTGATCCCGCCTTTCACGCCTGGAGGGGGCGGGGCGAAGGGTGACAGCCTTTTTGCCGGTGCTCAGGCCCGCTCCTGCGCCGGAAGGAGGGAGGCGTGGGGCATTAGCCTTTCCGAGCCGAGGAGTCTGTGCGACACAGGTGCGAAGTCACGTGAGCCGCTGTCTGTAGAGAGGGAAGGGGCGGGGCCCGGACGGAGGGGCGAGCGCCCCTAGTTCCCCCGGGGTCACGTGCGGCCGGAAGTTGCGGATGCTGAGGAGAATTGAAGATGGGGACGGCCCTGGACATCAAGATTAAAAGAGCGAATAAAGTTTATCACGCCGGAGTAAGTGGGGGCTGGGGGTGAGGTAGAGTTGGAGGTGGGGTTGGGCGGGTCTGCAGGTTCCCTTGTCTCCATCGCCCTGCGCACGTCCCGCATCCCTGGGCGGGGCAGGGCTGTGCCGCCAGGTGTGGCTCTGCCAGGTGGGTGCGTCCCCGGCAGGTGCTTCCCGCGCGGGGCCGTTTGCCCTGCCAGGTGCCCCGGGGGAGGTGCCGCCGCCTCCGCATCTGCGAGACGTGCGGGGCAGGCGCCTGGCATCGGGGCTGCGGCTCTCCCGGTCTGGCCCCTTGCACACCCAGCGGTGGGCATTGGGCTCTCAGGCTTGAGCTGCCGCCGTGAGCGCTGAGGGCAGAGTTGACGCCCAGACTCCCCTTTCCTTCTCTCCTAATGAAGGTCTAATGAACGAAAGCTAAAACTAACCTTGGAAGCAGAAATATGTACGTCTGGCGGCAGCATATATTAGGTGGCAATCACTTAACAAAATACTATGACAGTTACTCCTTTTTCTGTTAAAGTAAAATCTTGACTATGCCATTAACAAGTTTTGTGACATTGGCCAGTCAGTCATTTAAACCTCCTTGGGCCAAAGTGTCCTTATTTGCAAATGAGGGTGTTGCAAGGTTCCTCTAACTCGGGGGATCTCAACCCTTTACATCAGAATCAGTCACCTGGGGAATTTTACAGTATAGTTGTTCAGGTTCCACTCCCAGCTATACTGGTAATACATGTGCAGCTAGGGTTGAAATCACAGCTAGTTCCAACACTCTTTCTAATAAGATTGATAGTGGTTGGTCATATTAATGCAAAATAATATCAGAAGGGACAGAATACCAGACAAAAGTCTTGGATGCTAAAACTTTTGGGCAAAAGATAACTAGGGAAGCCTGGTATTTACACAAGCTCAAATGGTCATTCCCTTGATGGTTAATTACAAAGGGGAAAAGCAGGCCGGGCACAGTGGCTCACACCTGTATTCCCAGAACTTTGGGAGGCCAAGGCACGCGGATCACCTGAGGTCAGGAGTTCGAGACCAGCCTGGCCAACATGGCAAAACCCTTCTCTACTAAAAATACAAAAATTAGCTGGGTATAGTGGTGGATGTGTGTAATTCCGCTACCCGGGAGGCTGAGGCAGGAAAATCGCTGGAACCTGGGAGGCAGAGGCTGCAGCGAGCCGAGATTGCGCCACTGCACTCCAGCCTGGGTGACAGAGCGAGACCCCATCTCAAAAAAAAAAAAAGGGAAAAAAGCTACCTTTATAATGGAGTCACACTCTAACCAAGCACAACAATGAACACCACTTTACCATCACAGCTATTGAGACTAATATTTGATACCCCTTGGCCTGATGAACTGAGAGTGTCACAACTCACCTATGTCGTATTCCTGCCAAAAATGTTTAATCCAATCAGTTAATAAGGAAACAATCAGGCATATCCAAATAGAGGGACATTCTGTGAAACAAGTAGCCTGGATCAATGTCAAAAAAAAAAAAAAAAGACGAGATAATTTTTTTTAGACTAAAAGACTGAAGGGACATAAGAACCAAATAGAATGCTTAATTTCTGATAAAATATAAATTCAAATATGGACTATAATCGGTGTATTAGTGTTGAATTTCTCCAGTGTAATGTTTATATTTTGGTTATGTAGGAGAATATTCCACATGCTGGAGTATTTAGGATCAGTGTCCAGCCAAAAACTGTGTGTGCACATATATTCATGCATGTGTGTGTATGGGAGAAAGAAAGTGAATGTGGCAACATGTTAACAATTGCTGCATGAAGCTAAAAGCTACGTGGGTCTATTTGGTATTCTTTTTTTAAAATAACAGCTTTATAGAGATAATGTAAAATAAAACATTTACCCTTTAAAAGTGTACAGTTCAGTAGTTTTTTTAGTGTGTTTGCAGAGTTGCACATCCATCACCATGATCTAATTTTAAAACATTTTCATCACCCCAAAAAGAAACCCTGAACCCATTAGCTGTCACTCCTCATTCCCTCTCCTTCCTGACCCCTGGCAATCACAAATCAACTTTGTCTCTGGAGTTCCCTATTCTTGACATTTCCTATAAATGACATCTTACAATATGTGGCCCTTTTGACTGACAGGCTTCTTTTACTTGGAGTTGAGTTCAGTGTTCATGCTTGTCACAACATGTGTCAGTTTCTCCTTTTATGGTTGAGTAATATTCCATTGTGTAGATAGATCATATTTTGTTTAACCCTGCATCTCTTGATGAACATTGGAGTTATTTCTACCTTTTTGCTATTAATAATTTTAAGAACTTTTTAGTATAAGTTTTTTTTTTTTTGAGACAGAGTCTTGCTCTATTGCCAGACTGGAGTGCAGTGGTGTTATCTTGGCTCACTGAAACCTTTGCCTCCCGGGTTCAAGTGATTTCCCTGCCTCAGCTTCCTGAGTAGCCAGGGATACAGGCGCGCACCACCATGCTCGGCTAATTTTTTGTATTTTAGTAGAGACAGGTTTTACCATGTTGGCCAGGATTGTCTTGATCTCCTGATGTTGCAATCCGCCCACCTTGGCCTCCCAAAGTACTGGGATTACAGGTGTGAGCCACAGTTTTTATGTGAGAGTATGTTTTCATTTCTCTTGGGTATGTACCTAGGAGTAGATTTTCCTCAGCTGCCTGAACTTTTTGAAGAGCTGCCAAATTATTTTCCAAAGGGTCTGCACCACTTCACAGTCTACCGGCACCATATGAGGGTTCCAATTTCTCCACTGCTTTATATTCTCATAACTGTTCTGGAACTTGGAAATCGTTTCAAGATAAGAATAGGAGGGCAGGGACAGGAAACTATATGGATTTAACTTTAGTATTCATTGTTTCATCAACAAGTTAGCATATTCTCTTCAGAAATGTTACTCCAGCTGGGATGCTGAGATATTTTCTGTGGTTTAAAGTATGATTAATGAAAAGTACATTAGAAAAGATGCAAGCAATGGAATGGTAAAGTTGCCCCAGCAGAAGTCATATGCAGCCAGGACCACTTCCTGTGGGTGGCAAGTTTAAGACGGAGTCAGCTCTGTCCCGCTAGTTTACATCTCCTGGTGCAAGTATCAGGAACAGAGTCTGCAGTTGATGGCTTAAGTCAGCTTCTCTCAACCTTCAGTCACTTTTTACACTTAAATGCATTTTAAAAGGAAACCTTATATGGTGAATATGAAAGAAAAACCAGTATAACTTGTAAATAGATGGTTGCTATATTTTTTAAAGAGGCAAACAGAAAAGAGAAAGTTATTAAACTAATTAATCAATTGACAAAAATCTCTGACACGTGTGCCCATGACTCATGCAGTAGACTCCATGATCTGTGATTCAGGGTAGGTGGGGTAGGCAGCCAGCACTGTCATGGCTGCTTTCCAAGCCCCATATAGCAGGACCCTTGTTGCCTGTTCCTTAAGGAGGCCTCATTGACCGCAGATAGTGCCTATGTCACGTCTAGTTTGCATTAGCTGGCTGCAAGTGGAGGTGCTAGCATACACATTTTCTGTTTGCATCTCAATGTGACCGTAAAGATTCAGTTACCAAAGATTTGACTTATCTATGGGCCTGCCAGAGCACTGTGCCTACATTTCCCATGGGTTGCTTGAGGTGGCTGCCACCCACTTTAGCCTGATCCTAAGCAGTACTGTCCCAGGCATGAGGTCATAAGTGATTGTCTTTCAAGTGAAAGGTGTTTGTCAGTGTAAGCACATAAAGCAAGCTTATAAAGTTCCAGCAGAGGTTCTGGGGTCGGGTTTGACAGCCAGGCAGTATCACTCTCATTTTTCTCATGAGGAAATGAAGGCTTAGACATGTTGAAACATTTCATAACCCAGCTAGACAAACTGAAGAACTTCAGCACCCAACTAATGACTGTGGATGCCAGCTCAGACCAGTTCCAGTTCAGAGCATGTCCATCGAACACTATGATTCTGCCTTCCTGGGAGTGGCCGTTTTTATGCAAAATACAGGAGTTTGTAATATAGAAATGTTGTTATTCATTTCCTAGGAGTGCTCTGAATAACATTGTGATATTTGAATGAAAAAAGACTGATATGACTTCTACTTTGAATATATGCTGACTCTGTTACTGTGCTTTTCAGTATCTTAGTTGTGAAAGCATTTGAAAATGGCTTGATTCTGTGGACACCAGAGAAACCTAAGTTATACTTGGGTTTAAAATTGACTTTCTTTTTCTTTTTTTTTTTAAGTGAAAGTGCTCATTGAGAAAGTGATTTTTTTTTTTTTCCGAGACGGAGTTTTGCTCTTGTTACCCAGACTGGAGTGCAATGGTATGATCTCGGCTCACTGCAACCTCTGCCTCCTGGGTTCAAGCAATTCTCCTGCCTCAGCCTCCCGAGTAGCTGGAACTATAGGCGTGCACCACCATGCCCAGCTAATTTTTGTATTTTTAGTAGAGACGGTGTTTCATCTTGTTGACCACGATGGTCTCGATCTCTTGACCTCGTGATCCACCCACCTTGGCCTCCCAAAGTGCTGGGATTATAGGCGTGAGCCACTGCGCCAGGCCAAGAAAATGATTTTTTAAAAATTAGGCTGGGTACAGTGGTTCACACCTGTAATCCCAGCAGTTTGGGAGGCTAAGGCAGGTGGATCACCTGAGGTCGGGAGTTCAAGACCAGCCTGCCCAATATGGAGAAACCCTGTCTTTCCTAAAAAGACAAAATTAGTTGGGCATGGTGGTGCATGCCTATAATCCCAGCTACTTGGGAGGCTAAGGCGGGAGAATCCTTTGAACGGGGAGGGGGAGGTTGTGGTGAGCTGAGATTGCACCATTGCACTCCAGCCTGGGCAACAAGAGTGGAAGTCCATCCCCCCCCCAAAAAGACAGTTGAAGCATTTAAAAAATATAAACATAATATATGACATGTTAAAATTGTAACATGTTTATGTTTTAACATGTTAAAACATAAAATATGACATGTTAAAACTGTCTGGGTGTGGTGGCTCATGCCTGTAATTGCAGCACTTTGGAA